TCAGGCTGCTCAAGGCTGGTCAAGCTGTGGCTGTCACTGTTCACTGCAGGAGAGTTGGACTGATGGCCTTCGAGGTTCCCTTCCAGCTTGGGCCTTTCTATGATTCCAATTGCCTCTGCAAGCTGCCAGGTCTCCAGTGAAGCTCAGCTCTTGAGCAGTGTAATCTGTGGGGGAATCCTCATGGAGTTCAGGGCTGGGTAGTAGGCGTAAACATGTCAGGCATTGCTTGCTTAGGCTGGGTGTGACAGCAGGGTCTGCCTGTCCTGCTTTCTGTGCTCCACATGACAACGTGGTGCTGGTCTTCCTATTTCCTTGCACCCACAAGGGAAGCAGAGCAATATAAAGGAACAAGACTGTGTACAAATTCAGTAAAAAGGAAACATGAAAGTGAAACAAATGGCTTTTCCAGAGTCATTTTGCAGAAAGTACAGGAATTTTTTCTCAGTGGAATAGCATTTGATGCAGTTCTTTTTTGTCTATATATTTTTTTTATTGTTAGACCCTCTGAATGATAAAAGAAGATGACATTTTAGTGAGGGTGAGCAGAGTAGTCCTCAATTTGACTAATGTAACTGTACATTCATTCCAGATCTTTGTCAACATACATTAAAAATACTTCATTGGTTCAACCCATTTAATTTTCTGAGAGAGTCCTAAGAGTCCTTGCTGTTACATGAATTAAGAGACACAAGCAGTCTGGAAGAGGAGCCTTTGAATGTTTCATTTCTCTGTTGCATAATGCACTGACACGACTTGTCTCTGAAGGTGTCTCACAAAGCAGTCCTGGGGTGATGGCTGAAATGGAGCTCTGTATGCTTGTGTCATTTTCTTTGTGGGTGTGCAGGTAGGGACTGAACCCTACAAAGGCTGTGGTCTGTAGAGGGGTGCTCAGTGCAGAAAGTATGTACAGGATCTGTGCGTGCTTTGTGCTTCTGATTTATTTCTTTTCTTTCCTTTTTTTTTTTTGGCCTCTGCTCTGAAGGCCATTGAATCACTGAAGGCTGGGTTCAGGAAACTTTGAATCAGGTCCCCGATAAGGGCAGCATGTGTGGAGTTCCAAGGTTTATTCCCTGTGTTGGCAGTTACTCTGTTGCAGCTTGGGAAGGAGCTGGATTTCAGCTCTTCCAGCTTGCAGGGGGAAATGAACTCCTCTTAAGAACTGAAAATACACGTGAGGCAAAGACCATAATTTTGTTACCATCAGAGCCTATTTTAATGTGCTTAAATATAGTTCCATACACTGGTAGGGCAACATTATTTTCATACCCAAGGATTTTAGGGGAATATTTGTGCTTGCATGAACTGGACGTTGAAGAATTTTCTTTGTACGTATTTGAAATTTGGCAAACAACATTGCTTTACTGTGGGTTTCACGGATAGTTTTGCTAACAAGTCTTGAACGTAGAAAAAAAAAACCCAAACGTCAGGTTATTTTTGCAGCTTGTAGATCTTGATGATTTTCTAAGGGTAGAAGTGGTTGGCTGCATCATGCTGTGATGCAAGCCACAACAGAAGTGAGCACAATTATCCTGGAGTAGTATTTTCCTCTGTCTCTTCATTTGGAAATGTTTCCATACACATATATTTCCACACACACTGTGGGAGAAAGATAGGAGACGTGCAGTGAGAGAGCAGAGACTTTCTCAGTAATAAACAGCACTTCTGCCATTGTGGTCTGCTTCTGTCCCAGACCTACCTCAGAAAGCTGCACTTTGACTGTGTGTGTCATTGGCAGGCAGCTGCAGAGGCATCACATTATGCTTGCTGCTACGTTATTTCAACTATAAATAGAGACCTCGAGCCCTTTGCACTGAAACCTTCCCCCTCACTTCCATGAAACCAGTCTGCAGCTCCCCTCTGCCCCGTGTCCCTCACAGGCACTGAACTTGGCTGCGTGGCTGTCAGCACATCATGCCGTTGTGCTTAATGCCAATGCTTTTTTCTTCACCTTTTTTTTTAATGCTAACTTTGGGGCTTTGGGCTGTCACTCATCCTCTTCACTGAAATCAGCAGCTGTTTTGTACCTGGAAAAAGTGAAATATCAGAGGAAAAAAAATCTCCATATTATGTTGAATTTCCTCCATGCATCCAATTTTGATTGCACTGTTACTGAAAATGAGAATAATTTAACGATGCTTTTCCCTTTCCCTTTTTTATTTTTTTCCCTTTATCTGGATATACATTATTCCTATAGAAATGGAAGACTAATGGAGGTAGCTAATTGCAGTATAGAAGTGTCTGTAACAGCTTTCTCATGGAATTCTGCTCCTGCATGAGGTCTGATCAGCATCCAGCTTCCTACACCCAGTGAGGTGGCGGCTCGTGCTGCCCACAGCACTCCTTGTAAGCTTCCACCAGCTCACCTGGAGACCATCAGAAGCTCAGCGTTTTGCCCATATTTAGAGGTGTTTGGGAAAGCTTCACAAATATTTTCTTTTTTGGCTCATACCTTAAGTGGGACCCCGTGGAGATAGTTTTGCATCTCCACTAGTGTGCAACCAAACAGGGTTTTTGTAAGAATTGTTGTGGATATTAAATTGAGTAATAGAGTGAATATAGCTGTAAGCTTTTAGCTGAATTTGGATCTAAAGCATGGAGTGAATGAAATGAGATGCATCTTTCTGTTCCTCCACAAGAAAGCTTCTGAGGCTTATGGCAGGCCAGTCGCAGAACACTTCTTGTTCCTGCTGTCCAGCAACCCAGCTGGAAACATTTGGTTTTAAATCATTGTGCATCTTTGCTAAATGGGAATTATCCAAGTTAAAAAGCCTCAAACATGACCAAAGCCTAGTAGGTCTTGTGTGACCACAAGAAATTAGATCACTTATTTTGATAGCAGTTTAGATTTTCTTCAAATCCTGACTAAATACATCTCTGTGCTTAGACATAATAAAGATCTATTCATTGCAGACAAAGAAGTTCCTTAGGATGCCTAGAATTGTTAGGTGTGGGGATGTGTGAGGGCTTCCCGTGGGGCTCAGCTGAGCCTGGGGAAGGTTGCTGTTCAATGGGAGCTGGGGCTGCCCCACACTGAGCCCTGAATGTGTCAGGAGCACAGGCTATTGGCAGGGGAGAGGTTTTCTTCTTTTTCCTTCTCCTGTTGATCTGCATATGGTCCAGGGGCAGCTCTCCTGTGACTTCAGGACATGTGCCTTAGATTTTGGTGACAGTAAGTGGATTAGAAATCGCGTGGCCACATTCCTCTGAGGGGCTGCTTCCACCCCCTTTTCTATAGCGAGATGGTGATAGAACCTCTATACCAATCCTGCCACACTAAAGTACATTTCTAAGTTAGAGAAATGTTCTGTGAGTGTGAGCTGTGTTCCTGTGAGAGAAGTGGAGCTCTGGTGTGCCAGTGTGCTCCTGGCCCTGTCAGGCACAGTGGGGTTGGCCACCAGTACAGGGGGCTCGGGGGTCTTGGCTCTAATGTAGCTGCTCTGCCAGTTAGCTCAGAATTGTGATTAACACTCTTAAAAAGCATCTACATTCTTCTGCAGCACAGATGTTGTTTAAATCTTTTATTTGAGGTCTTAATTTATTTAGTGTTCAGTTCCCATGTGGCCTTGCACTTGCATATCATGTTTTTAAGTGCTTCTTTATGTGGAAGGTTGTTTGTGTTATTGCTTTCTAGACAAAGAACAATCTACATGCAAACATTTAATTCTGACTTTTGTTTCTCTTGCTGGGTTTTCTTAGTAGACTTCCTGTTGCTGGGGGTTGTGCTGATAGTAGTCTTGAAGTATGGATGGTGTGGATGGCAGAGAGAGGAAGGTGATTCCTGAACTACAGTACTCAGTAGTTTTGCAATTATTTGTGAACTGTTTTATAGATGTGTCCTGGAAAGAGGAGTTCTTACAGAGAGATGTGATGAAGTATTGCCATGCCTGGAAAAAGTGACTGCTGAGGAGAGCAAAGAAGAAAATTTCAAAGCATGGTAAAAGATGTAAGTAAAATCCCTCTGCAATAGCAGCTTACATGAGTGTTGTTTCCTTGTGTGCACACCTGCTTAGTGGAGTATCATATTCTTAGTGAAAAAAGTCTCACAGGTAGTGGAAAGTTTTAGTTTTGTGCCCTTCATTAAAAGAACATGAGGCTGTCTGATGTCTCTGATATCTACTCATTTTATGGGAAGTTATGGTAGGACTGTGGTACTAATTGTTGGATTTGATAGTCTGCCTCAGGGATCAAACCAAGCTCAAAGAAATTTGTGCTGTAGCAACTGCCTGAACTATGGCAGCTGCCGAGCCTGGTGGTTCAGATGATTTGGCTTCAGACCCTTCAGTTTTTTCACACAATTGTTTCTATTCAGACAGTCTGCAGCCATCTTCTCTGCTTACTGACCACATTGCCTGTCTTTTCCTTTGGTGACTCCAGCTGTATCCCTTGATCATGGCACCATTGTAGATGCTATCTTTCAGATACAAGCATCACAGTATTGTGCTTAGAATCCTGCCCACTTTGGTACCACGTTTTCCATCATTTCACAAGGCAGAGCTATGCTCAGTCCCTCCCTGAGCACTGCTGCTTGGAAGATATTTTTGTGCCTGGACTTGTGTTTGCAAAGAGAAGGATGACAGCAAGGAATGAAAGAGCAGGCAGTTTGGAAAGTCCATCTGAGAATGATGAGAGCAAGAGTGACATGAAACTAAACAAAGGTTCTTTAGCCAAATAATGTCCTCCTATTCTCACTTCTTTAACTAGGAAGAGCCACCTTCTTTAGAGAAGAGGACCAACCAGACTGTTGTTCTGTAGAGGAAAGACATGAATTAAGGTAAGTTTGGGTAGTGCAAAGGTTTTTCAGCACTGAAAAATATCTTTAATGTGGCTGTGTCTTAAGCTTCGCAGCCAGGGAACTTTTGGAGAGAGGTTTACACAGGGAGCAACATTCCTGCTGCCCAACTGTTCTTGCATTGTTCTACAGTACTGCAGGAGGGATGCGGAGGAATCCCTGGGGAGCAGCTCTATTGTCCTTTGGTTGTTGCTTGATGGAAAGTTAGATCCTCTTCATTTCTAACATTTTAATGAAAATGAATATTTTTGTAACATCTGTATCATAAATAAAATAAGCCTGATAGCCTTAAGCAGACATTGCTGGTTCACTTTTTGCAGTGCTGTTTCTCTGCATAGCATTCTGCAAAATCTTTGCAGAAGGAACGAAAAATAAGGAATGAAAAATAAATTCCTCATTTGGTTTTTAATACAATACAAATGCTTTCTAATTTTCTGTAGGAAAGTCTTTACATAAATAGATGCAAATGTTGAATTACTACCACACAGCACAAGGGAGACATACAACTCTAATTCTGTGGTTGTTTATTGTTTAGAAAAAGTATTAGAAAGGGAAGAAATCTTAAATACAGAAACGTGGTGGGCTGCCATGTTGCTGTGAAATTGGACATTGCATGGAAAAATCAGTTCATCTGAAAGTTCACTTCTAAAAGTTAAGGTGAAGAGCTTCCTGCAGCAGATAGAGCAAGGCACAGCATGGACTTCTGCCTCCTCTTTTAAATGAAGTGTGTGTACCACCGAGTTTTGTCTGTGTACAATTATGGGCAAGATATCCACCAGTTTGTAATGAAAATAACCGTGGCTTGCAAAACTTGTTAAGATAACTGTATTATTGGTAAAATTGTTTTTCCCTGAATAGGATCTAGATGGTTCCAGAAATCAAAATTCTGGAACATTATGAAGTAATACAGAAGTGAAAGGCATCTGTACTCTTTCTTTAATCCAGTAACCCAATTAGGATTGACATATACAAATGACCCATTTGTAGTGAAGACTATAATTCAATTCCCTTTCTTTTGAACTCTGCATTATTTTATTCATTATATTCTGTATTTATATGCCAGAGTACTGCAAGATTAACCGTAGAAGAAAAATAACAGAATCAGTACCGACATCCTGGTGAAATAATGGTAGTGGAGATGCAGATTCTGTCATTGAGCATGTAATTGCAATGGACAGCTCGATGAATTCAAGGCTTGATATGTCTTGGAACAATCACAGCAAGATTCTGCTTTCTTCCAGAATCATTCCATTCCATTCCTTCTTCCCAGAAGAAAGAAGGTGCAGCAGGAAAGAGTGAAAAAACTTTTCAGGAACTGTGTTCATATTTCTAGTAAATAAAGAGATTGTCATAGAGTGTTGGAAGACACATTTCTGCCTGATTTTCATGTTATTGATGAAACTGGAATCATTATTCTAGTTACATTTCCAAACACCATTTTAAGGAATGGGCCAGATTTCCTGTTACCAAGCTATTTTTATACCTCATCAAATGGAGTTCTAAGTGGGCGCAAATTACCTCTGTAGCTTAGCAGATGTGAACATTTATCCCATTATTAGAAACATTTAAAAGAAGAGTTGATGGAGAAGAGCTTACATTAGCAGAGCTCACTGCAAAATTTATTATTCCCAAAGTTATACTTCTTTTTTTCTTCTAGCAAGCAGTGAGTGAATTTGATGCTAGAGAAAGACTGATTTTGCAGCATGGGAGACTGGAATTCTGCTTACAAAGTGAACATCTTTGGTGAGTATTTCATAATTCAGTCACTGTGCCTCTGTTCGAACTGTGATACTGTGCAATCTGTGTTCACAGACCTTAGGTCTTTTTTTAGCTGTTATTCACACTTTGCTTAAACAGGCTAATATCAAACTCAGCTGAATTTCTTTTTTTTTGAAATATTGAGTAGCCTTTACTTCCACATACAAAATTCTTGAGCATCCACTGAGTCTGTCAGCTAGGATCATGCCTGTAACATTGGCATTTAGCTTTGTCAACATTGGCTGCCTTGAAATCGCCAGCTATCTTTCATCTGGGTCTTAAAACGGCTGTTAAAAGGGCAGTGATTTCAGGCAAGTAGTGATGAGCTGTAATTAAAAATAAAGTCAAGTCATCCTGTTTTCAAATCCATGTACGTTCTCCTACACTCCAGCTCCCACATATGTACACGTTCTTGAAGAAATGTCTGTTTGCAGTAGAAGTAGTTTGCAGCAGTGTAGAAAATTTAATCAAAGACATTAGTCACTTGGACCATGCATAAATGGGTCAGGTTGCAGCTTGAGATGCCTTCCAACTTGGACCCCCGTGCAGAGACATTCACAGTGTGGATAGCTGCTGCTAGAGCTGTCTGCACTCGTTTTTTGGCACTCATTCCTGCGAGGCTGCCAGGTGCAGAAAGAAGTACATGGTGTAACTCTGACCTTGTCTGTGTAACAGTAAGCCAGAGGATTTCCTTTTAAGTCACTGTCTGAAAGGGAATTAGAAGAGCATGTTAGAGTGTAAGTTTGCATGTAGGTGGGATAGACCTTGGTGTACTTGGCTGAATTTCAACCAGTAAACCCTGCAAAATATGGTACCTGGTGGTGTAGTCTCAGCTGTGGCTAAGGTTAGGTAGACTTGTGTCTGTCCCTGTTTGAAGCTGATCGAACTGTGAGAGAGCAGAAACAATTATCATTGATGTTTTTCCTTCCTTTGTAAATTGTCAGTTCAAAATGTAGTGATGTTGACAAGCACTGCTCCTATTCTCTATTGGAAGATAACCTTAGTAGCCGAGTAGTTCACAAGTGGATCAAGGCCAAAGAGGATTCTTGTCTTCCCTATCACCTGTATGGAAATGCATATCCAGGTGTCCCAAATTAATCCCTCTTAGAAATTTTCCCATTAGATAATGGCAGTGGACATTAATAAGGAATAGATGCAGTGCTTTAGAAGTATTGCATTCAGTTTGCACACTGCTGTGTTGACCTCAGCATCATTTTTAGATGCAGTTTACCCATCTACTAAACCTGTCTGTTCCTATCTCATGGGAATTAATTACGCCTGGAAGTTTTTCTAGCCAGTAATGGAAGAGCTGTAATATAGAATTACAGATAATCGGGAATGTTGTTGCACATGGAAGTTGCATATTTAAGGTTACAGCACACTAATTGGTCTACCTGTAGGTTTACAGGGCAGTGGCAGTCAGAAGAAATTCCTGGCTAGGAAAGCTGTCTGGAACCTGAAGACATTTTCCTCAGACAAGCTGGTGTTACATATGGTCTTGAAAGAAGGGTTCTTGAAATGAAGCTATTTCTTGTAATGTGCTAATAGAGGTATTGTTTTCAAACAGAGCTTCCAGAACTATCAGATAGGAGATTAAGAGAAATGTATCAGAGCGTATTCGTGTGATTCCAACTCATTCAAGCATAAGTGGGTACATTTTAGAGCTTGGTGTGGCGAGCACAGAGAACAGCTGTGATCTGGGCAGAATGTCATAGTTCTCAGATGGTTTTGCAGTTCACACTGAATTTGGAGATGCTGTACCTACAGAGCTGATATTAATGTTTTAAAGAGAGGGGAATGCTCCTTGTGTAAGCTGCAGGCCGTACGGTTTTTGTACTTGGTTACTGGAAGATGAGTAGACCTTACTTGATTGAATCAGTCATAGGAACTTCCACTGAACACGCTGAAGTTTATGTTGTTCTGAACTCAGGAAGTGAACTCAGAGACACCACTTCTGCATTTCAAGTCTCCAGAGTTTCCATTAGTCAGGCCCTGAAGTTTCTATTCACTCCTTACTCACTTCTGATTCAGAAAAACTTCCAGAGAATTTGGGAAATGAATGAGTGATACCTTGTCATAAAAATTACTCAAGATATAACGTGTCTGTGCGCTGCTGTTACAGATGTGTTCAAACGATGTTGTACAAGCCCATGTCACTCTTGAGACACTGGGAAACAGTCTGAGGGTATTTCAGGGAATCCTGATCACTGAGCTTATGGTGCTTCTTCTCTCACATGCTGTGGGTTGAAACTCAGACAAAAGACATGTAAAAATGTGGCTTGGAAGATATCAAAAAGAGAATGGAACCTTACTTTCAGTAAGTACAGAAAATGTCTATGGAAAAAAGAAAATTATGCCCGCTGGCTGTTGGAGTCTCCTGTGAGTACTTATATGGGCAGTGGGAATTAATGTGAGAAAGTGAAGGAAACCATCCAGCTTGAACATCAGAAAGCCCCCATTGGCAGTGGTGGTGTCGGTCCAGCGGGGCATCTTATCATCCACATGCAACAACCATCTCTGCTTCCTCTCTTGTCACTTAGCAGTGTTAGAATTTAGTTCAGGGAGACCCACTATGGAGGTAGCAGCAGTTAGGAAGCGGAGATCTAGCTGAATCGCTGTGAAAGTGTTATCATCTGTGCAGCCAGATCATGACATAAGATGTCTAACTTGAGATGGTTGGTGACACGGTGCGCTTTTGTCTCTGCACTTATTTTCCATTGCAACCACCAGTTGTCCTTCCTCTCCTCTGGCAGTCTCTCAGCAGTGCTCCTTGTCAGTGTTCACCTTTTTTCCACTTCCTCATTCCCATTCGCTGACTCTGCTGACTCCTGCTTACTTCATATTCTCTCACATACACATTAAATGCTATTTGAGATCTCTATATAAATAAAGAAATCTGTCAGTATTTGTAATCCTGTTTGCTCTTTGCCAGTTTTACCTCCATTCATCTCTGAAAGATTGTGGGCAATTGAAGGATATGTTTGTGCAGCCCAGTAGTGACTGGGACTATTGGAGGGAATAAGGAGAGGTTTTTCATTACCATTCTGACAAGGTTTGATTTTTTTCTTCTGTTTTTGAGGCATCAGCGTGGACCTTTGTGTGGGTGAAATGCTGGAGAATATACAGTAGTGTCACTATTTGAATCAGTGTTACAGATAAAAGTAGTTCTTACAAAATCTACTTTGTGTAACTTTTACAATAACTTAATTCAGTTTAGCAGCTTTTAAAATTTCTTCCACTTTGCTTTTTGCTGCATTTGGCAGAGGTGAACGTGTTTGCTCCTGAAGAGACCCCAAGTATGCAGTGAGGAAAGAGCAGGGATATATTTGTTATACATTGTGAGATGAAGGGAGAGGTAGAGAGCAGCCATTCTTCTGGACATGTCCACCTCATGACTGTATTGATTTCCATGTGGAAATGCATCAGAGCTGTTTTTTTGCAGGACTGCCTCTCTAATGTAGATGCAATGGAGTGTGGCTGTGCTGATCATGAGCTGTCTGCAGCCTTTGCACTACAGTCCTGCTTACTCTGACAAGAATGGAAATGGATTTTGTACACATATTTTTTCCATAAGTGTCACTTCCCTGCGTTTTATCTTTTCTCCTCGTTTCATGGTAGAATAGCATTAAGTTGCAGTGGATTAAAGGGAACCAGTAAAATAAGCTGGCTCCTGCATGGAATTCTGGATGTGCAGCATTGTCTCCCACACATTCAATCTGTGCTATTTATTTCTTCTTTCAGGATTTTATGCTTGTTAACACTGAGTCCTCCTGTTGCTGCTTTCAGCTCCAGCTGCTCCCATCTGTATGTAGTGATGCTATTCTGTGCAGTGCTACCTTTCCTGCAACTCCAGATTTTGATATAATAAAATCCTAACTGAGACAACTGAGGGAAAGGATTTGGGGCAAGTGAGCAGGGAGAGCTTAAATTATGAGAAAACTCTTGGAAGCTCTTAGAGATTGCCTTTTTTACAGAAAACCCAACAAGTACTTCGAAAGAAACACTGCAGACCTCCCAGAAATGCCTGTGGAGGCTACTGATGGTCTTCAAAGAGTTTAGGTGGCATTATGGAGCATGCATTAATCACTGCAGATAAGGGAGGAATTATTAACTGAGAATCTGTGGGGATGTTAACAGCTGATATTTTTCATACATAATAACCTTGTTTCTCTTAGAGCATTTCATTTATTTGATTTTTAAATTAGACTTAATTTAGTAATCTAGCTTAGTGTATCATCTGAAACCAGAGATGCAGAATCTTTAGGTGTTTTATCACCTTTTCAGTCTCTTCAAGACTGAACTCCTCCTTGTCAGTGTTTAAGCAATTCTTTTATGGCTAAGTTAAAAGCACATGTGGAAATTTCCAATAGTTTTATTTGAAACAATTACTAATTTCCATAACAGAGTATAAAAAAAGCAACACAGTGGCCTAAATGTAGATGAGAGACCCTAAGATTCCTCTTCAAACACAACAAATTCACGAGATCACTAAGAAAGCCTGTGTAAGCTCATAAAGTTGATATTAGACAAGAAAAATGCTGACTGAATTGCAGTGGTAAATATTTCATCTTTCTAGAGGTCAGGGATGTTTTAAATAGAAGTGTTTTGTCCTCCTCATTTAGCCCACTGTTTCTTTATTGCTGTTTGTGCTAAATCCTTTCTGACACCCTAAGAAAGTATCCATTATTAATGGAATATAGGACCTAACAGTGGCCATCATGACAAACAGAGTATAGGAATATCCAGATTTCTTCCTGAATGAAAAAGTGTTTAATTCTATTTACTGATGTGAGAAAAAGTCCTCACAGTGATGGCGTTCTGAAATCTCAAGCACAAAGGCTGCTCAGCAGGCAGAAGTGTGATGGCCAGCATGAGCTACAGCTCATGTGTTCAGCAGTGAGCCTATGGAGGTGAGGTGACTGCCAGCAGTTACTGTGAAGTCATGGAAGAGTTGGGAAAAGCTCTGCTCTGTTCAAGGTGATGTT